AGAAAGTTGGGGCTGTTCAGCCTGGAGAAGAGAAGGCTGCGTGGAGACCTCATAGCAGCCTTCCAGTATCTGAAGGGGGGCCTGTAAGGACGCTGGGAAGGGACTCTTCACTAGGGACTGTAGTGACAGGACAAGGGGTAACAGGTTAAAACTTAGACAGGGGAAGTTTAGATTGGATATAAGGAGGAAATTCTTTCCTATTAAGGTGGTGAGACACTGGAATGGGTTGCCCAGGGAAGCTGTGAATGCTCCATCCCTGGTGGTGTTCAAGGCCAGGCTGGACAGAACCTTGGGTAACATAGTTTAGTGTGAGGTATCCCTGCCCATGGCAGAGGGGTTGGAACTTGATGATCTTAAGGTCCTTTCCCTAACTATTCTATGATTCCATGCACTGTATAACAGAGGGAAAGAGAAAGCAGAGTCTGAACACAGGAGCACTTAAGCAGAGTCTGAACACAGGAGCACTTAAAGTTTATTCCTACCTCTTCTCCTCTGCCCCTGCTTTTTCCTGTTCAGAGCAACGGCTGCTATCCCTGCACTTCCCAGCCAGCCACAATCTGACTATTCAAAAAGAAAATACAAGCCTACCTTAAACAGAAGCTCCCACGCAGACACACTGACACTGGATAGTCACAAGGCAGCAGCACTGGCAGCAAATGGGAGGAGAAATGAAATGACATATGAAGGCAAATGCTAGCTCAGCTCACATGGTCCAGTAAAATCATCCAGTAATCTAAGCGTATGCAGTTAGTGAGCACATCTGTCTGCAAGACAGCAGGGGCCAGACAATACAGCATCTCATCTGCTTTTGTCTTGTGGTGCTCTCAAGCTCCAGATGCAGAGCTTCTTATGCAGCAGGAACTTCACTGCTTGTCTGAATTTGTGGTAGTCTTTTAGCTATAAAGGTTTCAGGAGCAGAGACACTGCCTAGTCTGTAGCAGAGTGCATTTTGCCAGTCAGATATGCTACTGGTACTAAGCAGAGCACTCTACTACTTCCTTCTCCAATTAATTTCCAACAGGGACACGTACTCACCTCTGTGCAAACTACTCCTCATCAGCTGCTTAGGAGCAACAGCACGGCATTCTCTTCCCAGCTCATTTATCCTCCTACACAGAAAAAGCAAGACATAATTAAACATGTCCTAATAGATGACAGGCAGGCTGTGGTGGCAAAGCTGGTTTTCTTCTGTTAAATATGTCTGGATTTTATAGATGACACTGGTGTAGTCAAGGCACTGGGAGAAATCTGTTTTCTTGTTACAGATTAATGTATAGTAAAGTACAAATGTACACATGCAGCTATTATTTGCACTGGAGAGGTGTCCAAAGGTAGCTTACACTGGATTTTGCAAAGATATGGGTACTTGCCAACTTTATGAACATGAGCCCAAGGTGTTCCCCTCAGTTGCTGAAGTGTGGCAGTTGATGTCAGACCCATAGTGAGGTGCCAGGGCAGCGTCCCTGTAGCCTGGTTAGTCCCTGTGTGACCAAGGGCAGAAGTAACCTGCACTGCCAAGCAGAGCTTACCACAGCCTTGCCTGCTGGTACAGGTGACTGGCTATTCCAGAGAGTGGCTCTATGGATCACTCCTTTTATTTCTAATGGCTCCACTAATCATTTAGCATTATTGTGCTCTTTATTCTGGCAATATAACTTGTTGCTAGGTATGAAATGACATGAGAGTCATAGGGATCTCAGAAACACCCCCTGTCAGGAATAACTGAAATATACGCATGGTTATTATGCCATAAAGAAAAAAAAAAAAAAAAAAAGGCAGAAAGTCTTTAAATATGTAAAAAAAAAGGAAAGCCAGAAGCAAATCCTGGTGCAAATAGGAAGGGAGTAGCTGATTCTCCCTGTTCTCTGTGTGTAGGACAAGAACTAATCATCTTAGATAGCATCAGGAGAGGTGAAGATCAGAGTGAGGGAAGCTTTGTAGTGATAAACAGTTAAATGTGGATTAGATAGTCTGGAGAGGTTGGAATTTTCCTACTAACGGTTTTCAGAAGCAGGTTAGGTGTAGATTTTTCAGCAGTTTTGCAGGTCATACTGGTCTGGACCTGGTAATTTTCTAGGTCTTTTCCAGCTTTCTTTCCTATGATTGTCTATATTACAGTATCACCTAGCTTGGTTGCAGCTGGGTTGGGGATCCTATTACATTTAGAAACTATAACAAAAGTATTTTGACATCATTTAGAAGTATGCTTATCTCTGCTAATGACCATTAGCATTGCAGTTTGGGTAGGCTCAGGATAGTCCCAGACTACTCTAGAAGGAAAAATATTTGTATACTTTGATGATTCATCCTAAGCATAAAGAAAAATCATTTAATAAATAATAAATTTATAACTGTTTATCTATTGACAGGTATTTCACCTCTCATGTCTTTTCACGTCATTAGGCAAATTACCTTGATGCCTGTAACATCTCTTTGTTTAGTTTTCTTTCAGTGAATTATCAGTATCCTCTTTCAGAGGGCTGTGGTAGGTATGCTTCCTTTGTCCTTAGCATCTTCCTACCTGGGACAGATGTACTAGGTTTAGGTAGAACCAAGCCTGGACTTGGAAAATGTCTTTTTCCCACACCATCAAGTTGTAAGCAGGGGTGAGGTGCCACCTGGTTTGTGGGGCTCCAGTTTCTCCCAAAGGGCTTTTAGGATTGAAAGTATTCCCATCACACTGCACTCCAGGTCTGCTTGAGAGATAATGTTAGACATCCATGATTGTTAAAGCCTGCCAGGTTCTTAGAGAGTAATGGCAGACATATCTGGCAGACATAACGTGTAACAAGTGACAAATGCTGGCTGTCAAACTGGGAAAGAAATTGGCCAGTGCCATGCAGCTGCAGTTTTCTTCCCTGAAGAAATGCCACATTTTGTAGCCCAAAGAATGATGTTTTTCTTAAGGTTTGGACTTTCAGCTTCTGTTGCCTCATTTTCCCTTTGGAGCCAAGGTGTCCTCTTTGTATAACCAGCAGTCTAGACAAGCAATCTGTGTTGATGAGCCATCTGTCTCACACTGCATAAGCCCAAAACTTGTGCTTAAAATTGCCACTGTCTTACCATGAAGATAGTATATTATTTTTCCTTTTTTTTTGCTGATGTACAGACAACCAAAACAATTCTCAGTAAAAGCCTTGCACTCCACTCCCAGGTATTTCAAATTGCCAAGCACCTTCCTGTTTCCTCTTGCTTCGGGTGGAGGCTCATGCTTATGTTTTGGTCCCTTGTTCTACTGCTTATGCAAAAACATTTTATGGCTCTCTTACGGGAAGGGCAGTGGCTGCAATCACCACTTGCCATAGGGTCAGAGACAGACCCTGATGGCATTACTGAAGCTGGGACAATCTATTCTCCCCATACTGGGTCACTGGAAAGTTGTAAAGAGGATAGAAAACTACTGTCTTGCACAACATTGCATTCCTCCGCTCCTGCAGCCAGCCTCATCTTGTCTGGTCCCTTCCTGCTAAACTGCCTCTCCCAGTCCAGGTTTTTCTTGTTGGGCTCCTCAGTTACCATACATACCTTGGCAGCTGGTACCCTAGCATGGGTTTTCTGTCTCATGACAGGTTGTTCCACAGTGCTTTCAGGGACCTTCTTTTGCAGTGTACCTGGATCCTGCCTTGAACTGTAATTCCACTCTGAAGCCTCAAAATTCAAGCGCCTGTTTCTTCCAGTTTGGCTCAGTTTCTGTCTTTGGGGACTACTTACAGATTCTTGCCTGTTGTTCACAATGATGACACTGCTTGGCCTGAACCGCAAGCCTATATTAGGTTAGATTTTGCTGTACTCCTTTCCGTTTGCAAAGAATGTGCACAAAGGCCTCTTTTCCCTGCACCTACAGCAAGCAGAAGAAAACAGGCACTTTATTCCTAAGCCTCTGCTTGCTCAATGCTGTGTGAGCTGTGTTAAAGTAACTGGGCAAGTTCACGGGACAGGACTATTACTGGGTATACAGCAATGGTGTCCATCTCACAAGCCTCCATCAGGATAGCTGGAGGCTAGAAGGGTGTAAGGAAAAGTGCCACATTTGCTTTCCCTGCTCCTTTGCTCTTCCATAGGCATTAGCACCTGCAGGGGACACAACACTGGGCTGGGATGCTATGGCCTTCCTAAAGTTCCTGCTCCCTCTCAGAGGTTCACAGACAGCTGTTTTTCTCACTCTCAGATCCTTTTCATATACATGCCCATAGCTTAAGACAGCTGCAACCACTGCCTGCTCCAGGCTGTTGGTTGTCAGTGGATACTAAGGTTTCTCCAAGTCAGGTCTTGCTCAGGGCATTACTTCAAGTCAGTGTCTTGTACAGTGGCTTCTGTTGTTTCAGTGATGACTAAATAGCATGGGAGTTTAAGGTGCTCCTGGCGGTTAGCCTGAACAGACTATAGAGAGGCACATTGCAGACTCAGGTTTCTTACATATCTAGTTTGCCTTGTCCAGCATGAGGCCACCATGTTCTGTAATCAGCGCAGCAGTTCTTGTGTGACTTGGCTGTTATGTCTGAAAATAGTGGCTGAATTCATGTGCCTCTATTCAGACAGTCCCATCTCAAAAATTTCAGCCGGGCCATCTCATAGTGGAAGTGAGACTTTTTCCAGGGGCATTAACTGTGGGATCTCCAGAGTTATAGCCACATTAATCATGAATTCCCTGAGAAACTGCCCTACCCCATTAAATACACTGGCATATTTTTTAATAAGGTCACCTGCCTTGTGTCAGCTCAGATGGAGTAATTCCCACTTTCATTACCAGTTTGATCAATTTAATATCCAGCCTGCTCAGGGACCGAGCTCTAGTGATGCTGCTGTGTGTACAGCATGAAATTTGTGGTGTTTTACATCCTATTTGATCGGGTCTAAAAGCATACCATCTGCCAATGTGCCCCTGCTTTACCTTTCCCTAGTAAATGTGGGTTCTTGCTCTCTTCCTTCCACTCATCCTGCAGTTGCCAGACCCATGTGGAAAACTACGTACCCAGTTCGGAAGCTGTGGCTGAAGTTTCTGCTGGGTCCTGACTGCTTCCACAGGGACATCAGGAGGGTGGCCCTCTTCCTATTGGCTGCAGGGTCATAAGTATCACGTATTCCACCCTAGTTTCAGCTGCATAGACGCTGGGATTATGTATCAGTTCTTTATGGCAAACCTTGCTGGCCACCATGCTGTCCCTAAGCTGCCAGTCCTTGGCATTCACCAGCCAGCACCTCCTGTCCTGTGGTGACAAACTCCACTGTGGCAGCCGGACCTGCTTCACAGTGTGGGGTCAGCAGCTGTACTGGGGTTTGCAGAGTAACCTATGTGCTGCCCTGTCTACCAGCTTTGGCAAAAAGAAAACAGTCCTTTTTTCTCTCTTATGCAACCACTTAAGCCCAAGCAGTTGTTCTGGGGTTTGTGGTTTTTATTCATGACATTAGTAGCGGAAAATGACTGTCATTGCCTCCTTTGGCTTGGGCCTTGTTCCTTTGCAACCCATATGATTGAGAGAATTTCCCTCTGGGCAAGAAGAAATGGCAGCATGGCCAAGCCATGAAGAGCGGGTGGGCAATACAAACATTTCAAAGCCCAGACCATATTGATGTAAATATTGCAAGTTTTCTTGGGGAAAGAATGACCCTATATTTTTACAGATTATTTTACCAGTAGTCTTATGTACTGGTTACTTAATGCTTGAGGTTTGGGGGAGCATCCTGGCTAGCAGCACCTCAGAAAAAAGAAAACTGAATGACCAGGTGACTGCGACTGCATTACAGCAACCATCTGAGTAATATACTCAAATCTGCAATCTATAGAACAATGATAAAATTCTGCCTGCTAAAGCACAGAGAATTTACAGAACCCTAAATCCAAACACAGTCAGGATTTAGGGTTCACTGACATCCATTCTCTGAAGTGGGCTGTGTACCCTTCAGTTAGCACACCATCCCCTAGTTATGTTAAATAAATGTTCACTGCTTCTCCGCAGCATCCTGGCTAACAGCAAGAGGGTACTACACAGTGGTGCTGCACGCTATCAATATATTATATATTACACCCAGCCATTAGGTTGCTGCTCAAGTTTGGTCCAACCTGTCCAGCCGGGTATCGCGATTAAACCTATCAAGAGGGTCCCCGCTCCTACACGCGAGCCTCTCCGCTGTCATTTGTCCCCTGTGCCGCTGGATGGCAATGCCGGCTAAAGTATCGCCGTGCTTTCGCGGCCGGTACAGAGACCAGGCAGAGGAGGAGGAGGAAGACGGGAGGAGAAGCAGCCTTCTTCCTGCCGTCATGCAGAGTCTGTAGGAAACACGTCTCTCTGAGACGTCGCCCCCTTTGCTGTTATTTCCAACCTGACAGAAGATGCACGACTCACGGTGTGGGTGATTTCTCAGGACCCTTACCTTTGGAGAACCTCGAATCATGGAAAACTAGTATTTGGCGTCAAGGTTCTAAGCGTAGGAAGGGGTTGCAGGCAGGAGTGATTAAGAGTCATGCATTGGCACGGCTTGCTAGAAATTGCCCAATTTTTATACTCAAAAACTGCACTTAGACTTTGTAAAAACGACTTTGTAAGCATGGCATGGCTAGGCTCAATGACTATTCAGTGAACTCATTTGAATGTGCATAGACAGGGCTTGCTTGAACTGCTGCATCAAAGAGAAATGCTGAAATGAGTCATTTCTGAATCACGGCTTATTTTCTGTTGTTAGCTCATCTGGAATCCCATGGTGATCAAACGGCCTTTTACAATGTGTTAATACATCGCTACTCCATGTGTTTAGCAACAGCTCAGTTCCAATAAATCGTAGGTACTCACCCATTATAAAGAAGTAGTGTTTTCTGCTGTGTGTAAACTGGCTGGGGCAAACGTGGAGATGAAAACACATGTGAAATTTCATGCTGTTCCAAACACTGTTTTCCATGCTGCTTCCACTCTGATTTCATACATGTTTTCTGTCTCCTTGCTTGCAGGGCACAGTCCAGCCAGAAGAGATTGCCTGCAGGAGAGAGTGCTCTGGTCCTCCAGGAAGGGGGGAAAGCAGCCTGGCAGCAGCAGCCTTTTCCAAGCACAGGAACAGAAGGAAGGCAGAAAAAAAGCCACCCTCAACAGCAGTTTAAGGTAAGGCCCCTGTTTCCAAATTGGTGGCCATTCCTGTCCTACACCTTCAGCTCCATGGGCTATAGAGCTTGCATCAGACTATGATCAGACTCAAGAGCTGATCTGCTTAAATTTGAAGGGGAGGGTAATCCCCCCTTTCTTTTTTCTTTATGAACTGAATCAGTGGAGCAGGTCTGCAAAAAGTTGACAGGAGGCTGAGGTAGAGGGTGTGAATCCCTTAAGGCTGCTATTGTCATTGAACTGCTCGTGGTGTGAAACTACAGCCTGAGGTGCTGAGCTTCTCTCCAGAGCGACTGAGGCTCAGGAACCAATTCCCTTCTGCCAGCTCTTTTATAGGAGTGCACGGCTGGAGATGGAAACATCTTCAACCAGCACAGCAAGCTTCACTACAACCCGTCTGTCAGTGCCGTAAGCCCTGTCTGCTTCTATATGAGTTACATGGCCGTAAAGGCCAAAAACTCTCTGCCATCAGTTACTTAGGCTTCTTCTGTCACACATAATTGTAGCTCAAAGGTCCTGCATAATTACATTCATATTGGGCCTGATCCAGCCCCCAATAATAATCTTAATAATGCTGCTCTTAACCAGCCACATGAATCCCTTTCAATCCCCAACGCAGGCTCAGTCATGCTGTAATTCAGTAGAGGAGGCCATTCACTGTGGGGCTAATTTGGTTTAAAATGCAGACAGCCTATTTATGGGACAATTTTTTGTTCCTGCTCTAAATTCTTATGTTCAATCAACAGCCTGTAAACTGGGTCAAGCCAACACACGACCCATTAGCATAGGCAGTCGGGGCTTACAGCCCTTAAGAGCTGTATTTGTGCTGTGCTTCCTCACAAGTGTAATATATCCCCTGCTTAGCTAATGGGCCCGATTGTAAGGGAAAATTATAGAAACCCTTTTCCTGCACTGGAAATCAATTTCACACAATTGCAGGGTTGAGTTTGACCCCACGCTCACCCACTCAATTAGCAACCGCCTTTTGCAACCAACATTGGCCTTCCAAAATGAAGCAGCACCACTTCCCCTCTGTGCAGGAAGAGCACAAAATGGAGGTAAGAAAAAGAGCTTCATCATGTTGAGATGAAGACTATCCTCCCACCGTTTATGCTGCCAGGAGAGGGATTTCCAGGAACACAGGGAAAGGCTTTACTTCTGGGGAGGCTCCACATGAGCACAGGGCTATTAACAAAGCCCAGGTTCCTTAATAGGCCTAAAAGAAGATTAAGAAGCAGCTTATTCTCAAGTTTTGAAACACAACCCGCAATGTGCAAGACCAGGCAGGGGTTAAGACATGCCCATATCCATCAGGGAAGCAGGCTGCAAGGCAGATGTCTTAGGTCCTTACACAGGACAAGTTCCCTGATTTAAATACCTTTCTTTTTTCTCTAGGGTTATTTTTAAGCTTGCTGCCTGACTTCAACAGCGTTCCTTACCAAAAGCTTTGGTGGGGCAACCTGATACTGCATGAAGGGAGGGGAAGGGTTGAAACAGAACAAGAAAGGAACAAGGTGAGAAACGTTTTTTAGGACAGGTTCCCCGGGTGTGGGGAGCTGTGGCCTTAGGGGCCAGATTTACCTGGACAACAGAGGCTGTCCTGGAAGAGCTGGTGAAAGGAGTAATAAACACTCCAGGTGGGAAACAAAGGGAGGGCAACCACCCACCCATAAATATGGGCAGGGCAGACCTGCATCTACATTGCCTACAGCTGGGGCCATCTGTCTAGAGGCAGGGAAGGGTGTCAGGAGGGGAGGGCCTGCTCCAGGTTAGCAAGGTTAAGTGTGAAGCAGGTGATGCTGCCTCTGGGGCAAGTGATAGCCTGTCTGCATTTGCATGCCATATTTTTCCAGTGACACTTAGCACACAGAGTGTGTGTGTTTTCAGCATAGCTCCAAATAAACACCACGCCCCTCAGACATGCACATCTCTTACATGTTTTGAAATAAATGCCTGCAGCTGGAAGACAGGAAAGGGGAAAAAGACTTAGGAGATTCATTTCTGCATAGCCCATTTATAGCGGGACCTGTGACAGAGTAAATCTCAAAACTGAGGCTGGTTAGGTTTCCTTCCTCTCTGTCCAGCTGTCTCACCCTTAGGCAACTCGCTTAATTCCTTTGTGTCCCAGTTATCTTGCAGATACAGAATAAATAACACCATCTACCTCACAAAAAAATATTTACAGTTTGTCTCAGGATTTTCCTAAGTTTTTATACTGAACTTTCTCTGCTTCTGCCTTCACCTTAGAAGAACACAGAGGTTTATAGAGCAATCCTGATGGAGACATACAGATGTGTATTTCCCACAAGTACCATATTGCCTGTCCAATTTGTAAATCTGACTCCTTGAGTGCCTAAAATACTTGAAATGCTTTATTTTTGTTTCTTATTTTCAAGGTTATTTACAGCCTGCACCTCATGCGTACTGGGAGATACAGGGACTTAAAAAAAGATTGTGATAAACGCCATGACTCCAGGAAGTGGTGCTTTAAAAACATTAATCACTTCGGATAAAGTTGCCTAAGAGGGTGATTCCAGCATATAAAAGGAGTACAGGTAAGGAGTGGAAATCGCAGAGGTCAAATCAGGGTCAGGCTGTTGGGCAGTGCTGTCCGGAGCAGAGCTCCACCACGTTCAAGCACAGCCTTTCTGGTGCTGGAGGAATAAAGTCTGAGGTTGTTCTGCCGCTGAGTTTCCCCCAAAGGAGACACACAGGGGCGCCAAAGACTGAGGAACAGACATGTAAGGCCTTTCGCTGCAGAGCTCCTGTCCCTTCTGGCTCCCACTCCGTGTAGTCAGAGTGCTCTGCTCCAGGGTGGGTGGTGTTAAGGGACAGCTTACCAGCCCAGGCCTAATTTCATTTGCAAAAGCGCTGGGACTTTGCAGTCGCTTACACTTGCGTGGTGTAAGCGGGGTAGACGGCTGCTGGTGACCCTGCGCCTCTCCCAAGTGGACATCACAAGAGCGGCCGTGGAGGAAGGTGGTGGGAGGGAGGGAGGGAGGGATGGTGTGTGCCTAGGGGTGGGGACCTAACCGCTATAGGTGCTTTGCTTTGTTCTTCTTATGCCACATTTGCAAGTATGACCTCAAGCTTCCTCTGCACAAATTTCCCAGCTGAAGCTGGAAAAGTGCCATTGCATCAGTACGGTAATACCACCCTTTGGAAAATAGCAAGTTTGCTGTCTGTTGTCTGAGTAATTGTTAGGTTTCCTGGGTGCGATGCAACAGTCTGGATGCCCATCCAGTTGGCTTGTCCTTGTGAGCTGACTTTGATGTGGAGGTGTCTGCAGCTGCTGTAATAGGCACCTGACTGAAGATCCCTAGTATGGCTGAAATGTGGATGCACATCACCCACAACCTCCATCCTCTAACCACACCCTCATTTCCCTTTGACATAGGGAGGAGGCTAGCATAAGAGCAATTGCATCAACTCTTGACTGCCATCAGATTATGCATATAGCGGGTTGGTACTCCTGCGGTGGCTACATGGAATGATTATGTCGGATTATCCAGTGCATGGCCTACTCTTTCACTCACCTCCAGAGGTTTTACTCCATAGCAGTCAGGGAGGCAGGCAAGACACCAAATAAACACAACTGAGCCAAACAAACCATAGTATAGGCTGTCATGGAAAAAGCCCCATGCTGTTCACTATTTTGTTTTGGTTTGCTCTCCACTGAGTGATTTGTCTTATTCACAAGTTGCTCTAGCCATAATGCATTGCTGTTAATACCATGAAGTGCTGTGGGGTGTAGGCATGTGCTAGGACAATAGTTAGAGCTGATGTTAAAGGCTAAATGTATTGCAGCTGCATGCAAGCTGGGCTAGATTAAAGACTACAGAGCTTTGGAAGTTTCTTGTTAAAAAAAAAAAAGTCACTTAAAGGGGGGTTTTGTGCAGATTAATTTTGTTTTGGACATCAGAGCCTCCACCAGTCATTTTCCAGTAATACGGCTTTTTGCAATTAGTCAACACTTTAAAATATATGCCTTGCAGACAGCAGTTCCAATGTTAGCCTAGACATATCAAAGTAGATGTTATTTAAACCCTGCTGTGGGTAATACCAGGCTTTGTTTTTTAAACATGTCTTGGAATTATTAGGATGGATGCAACACCAAAGTATCATTAGTGAAACAGAGAGTTTCAAATGTGGGTGCCAAAGTTTAGGTACCAAAGAGCACAGTTAGGCACCTGGTTGGAAATGACCTGTTTTATAGAGATCCTGAACACCTGCTGCTCCTCTTAATATAGCTTTCCTGGCTATAGGACATGTTGTCTTCAGCAGTAGCAGTAGGAGGAGCAGATACTGGTCTGGTGGTAAATTCAATCACAAAAGGGAAGTTTCCTTTCCTTCCCTTGATCTCCAGCAAGCCAGCTGCAAGACCTTGGGGAAATTCTTTATCTTCACCTTGCATCAGTTTACTTATCTGTAAAGCAGATAAACTAATAACACTGTACCTCTCGAGGGTTTGTTGAAGCTTATTATACAGTAGCGAGTGTTTTAAGAGGGAAGTCATTATAAAAAAGACAACGTTAATATGACATGAAGGTAACATGAAGGAGCCCCATTCTGCTCCATGCAAGTCAGTAGAGCTGTTATTTGCTTTAGCAGAATGAAGGATTTGGCCTATGCTTAAATGACTTGCATTTGTTTTTCTTCTTGAATGTTAATATATAGTTAAGAGATAGCATTACAAGGAAAGCTCATTCCTGCCTATGTGTAAATATTTAGCAGCTGAATAGGCATTATTTAACAGGGCACAGTTTCTGCTTCTCTACAGTTTCTAAGGATGTTAGTACAGGCTTATTCTAAGCTGCCACAGATCAGAAGATACACCAAATTACCAGATCAAAATCCTTTCCAAAGTGTACACATACAGAATTTATTTTACTGGGCAATTAAATGTGTAAGATAAATATCCCTGGGGGAGGAAGGTTGTTTGAGGTTTCATGGCATATCTTATTATGGGCTCAGTTTCGAAATTTTAATTCAAACAAAACTCCCCGTGTAGAGACTTAATGCCAGAGCATAAGTTTGTGTTTTGTATTCAGAGTATGTGCTGTTGCATCAGTGTATTTGAGGGCAGGGGATGGAGTGAAGGCAGTGAATCTTTGTCTAAAGAAAAGTAACCCTTCCTAGAACAAATATATTAGCTCTAATGTTTGATCAGGCAGGTCATGGTGAAGGACCTTAGGCAGCATACTATTTTTTGGATTTCATTTGACAATGTTATTGATGAAAAATTAATAATAAATGTCAAATTAAACTTATTTGTATTTATTTTTGGTAGCACTGTAAAACTGCAACCTACTGCAGCTATGGGATTGTTGGCAAAATACTTACCAATGTTTCAGATGCGAAAGCTTTTTCCTACGACATGTGAGCAGTCAGAATTGCCCAGAAAATTCTCCAATTATATGACTGAGTTGCAAATGCAACTATTTCCTTAAAATTCGGTGGGTTTTTTCTGTTCAGGAAATGAAATGTACGATAGAAAAAGTGGGCAAGTTATAGTAAACACTCAGATCTTGACATGCTTATAGAGGATAGATATCTTTTTCTAAATGCAATGGTGCTGTGTGTTTTCAGCATAGGTTTATTGTGCTTTAAAAACAAAATCCTCACAGACATTTGTATTTGAGACCATTCAACTGCTCCCTGAGTAATCCAAAAAAGCTGAAGCACAGTTTTACCACACCAATGCTTTATTCATAGGGATGATCTGAGGAGCTCCAGCAATGACAGTACCTAGCCCTAAAGGCCCTAGGTTGAAGCAGAATGTACCTGTTCCATTTTCCTAGGTCATCTACAGCATGGGAACTTGTGCCATGTGGTTGCTCATGCAAAACCCTCAGTGGCTGGATTGTGTTGGTACAGCAGTTTACACTCAGTTTTAACTCTCAATTACTTCCCGGTTTTGCTCGTTTAGTTGCTTTAGCGGATAAATATTTAAGTTAGTTCAGCAATATAATGTTAAAGGAGCAGGTGAGTCCCGTGTGCTCCTTGAAAAAACTTCGCTTGCCTCTCTAAAACCCAGGTTTTCTGCTCACTTCCAAAAAAGTTGCGCTGGGGCACCCTCCTGTCCCTTCATTCGACATCGGGGGGAAAAAAAGCTATTTATACACAGAGCTGATTTCCATACTGATCAGCCCCTGGCAACACTCTGGGGCTTCAAACGCCTGGCCGGGGCCCCAGGGATGGGAAGATGGGGGAAGCAGAAGTACCGCAGGGCTGTACTCAGGGCACAGCATCCTCAGCATCATCATTCTCCTGCTCCTCCGCGGACGCTGCCCAGGGGATCTATGCGTGACACTCCGCAGGCGAGACGCCCGCATCCCCATCCAAAGCGTGTCCCGGGGCGGGGGGTGCGAAGGGGAAAGGGACAATGGTTTCATGAGGTCCCGGGAGTGGCTGAAGCAACCTGTTGCTCCCAGTGGGCTTCACTCCCGCGAGAAAGGGGCGTGAAGGAAAACAAACTCTGCTAAAATGAACGGCCGAGGACAGCACCTCTGGCAGGCGGACACGGGCGGATTTCTTCTCTTATCCTTTCTTTCCTCCACACCATCCCACTTCTCTCGTGAGAAGGTCTTCCCCGGACCTGCCGCCGGGAGGAATGTTGCCGCTCCAGCCTGGAGCCAGCTCCCCCTCAGCAGGGCACAAAAACGGGACACAAACCCTCAAATCAACGCCCGAGAGGCAGCACATCGCCTTCCCTGGCACCGGCCGCCAGAACCTCATTGAACCTTGTTGGACCGCAAAGTAAGAAGCAAGGAAGGGCGGGGAGTGTCTTTCCTTCCCCGCCCCCCTTTCTTTTAGTCTTTGTTATGTAAAGCTTGGGCTGTTGGAATCTTTCGTGTCCTGCCGGGTTTTGCCTCTTCAGCTCAAAGGTGCAGGACGCCACGTACTCAGGGTGGACTCTACCCTTATATTCCGGGACAGCAGCTGCCCGTACAGGCGAGCCCAGGACCCCACTGGAGCCAGCCCAGACCACCCCTCCTCAGCCCCATTCATTCAAAAAATAATTTAAAAATGAGAAAAAAAGTGATTTATGTGGCAGCAAGCCGGTGACAATCAGCAGCGCTGAGCCCCTCCCCAGCGGGCAGCACTGGGGCAGTGAAAAGCAGCAGTGCGAGGAGTAACCAACCCTAAACTCCGCGCAAAGCTTCGGG